AACCCTAAACCCTAAACCGCTGAGCCAAACAGTTCAGGCTGCTCTGGAAACGTACGACCTCATGTCCCGCAAGTTCTTTACCCACGCAACTCCGACGCTGCCCCTGGACGCGACAGCGACACAGAGTTTTCGGTGCTTCTTCGATTTTCCACAAGCGGCAAATATCCCAAACGAGAGCAACATGTCGCCTAAACCCCTCAAAGCCCCGCAATCCTGATCCCCCGAACGCTAAACCCCCTTAATTCACATAATCCTGGGCCCCTAAACCACGCAGGTCCTGAACCTCTCGACTGCTGTACACTGGAGGGCTTATAGGGTTTAGGGTTTATGCGGACCCAGGCCTCAGCCACAAGCAACACGAAGGCATGACATGAAACCGACACTGAGCCACGAAGTCCACTCTTTCCCCTGCAATAGCCTTTATGAGCTCTAGATAGTTTATGTATAGAATCCTTACCAACTCAGGGTGGGATGTTGGGGTATACTGCGGTAGAATATGCGTTAAGTTGTAATAAGGAACCCAAGAAATAGTGTTATTTCGTCTGTTATAACTTGTAAGCATGCACGCTTCTGTATCAGTTTGCAACATCAGCGTCGAACGTGGCTTTTCATGTATTGCTGTGCTATATAGCTTTCCTCACGAATGCCTGCAGATTCCAGATCAGGTTCAACGCTGGCACGCCATCGCCGCAGATGTCGTCTTGCTTTCTCTTGAAGATGCAGGGCGACAGCATCGAGGGCATTTACGACACCCTGATGCTTGGATGACCTTACACAACCATCTGGAGCTTCCAGTGCTTGCTCATCAGGACTTTTTGTTGCCGAAGTTTACTAAAGGCTGGAGAGCCTGCCTTCAAAAATCGGGTTTTTTGGGCATCCCAGAACCTTCGATTACTTGCATCAGCATGCATCAGAGCCCTCTTCAGCCCTTTGCTAATCCCGGATGCCCAAGCCCAAGTCTTGATAAACTCCGAGGAAGCAATGTGCCTTGATCTCCAAATCCGCCGGGGGCATCGGCGCCTTTTCTCGAATTTTCTTGGTGTGCGATAGGCCGGATTTTTTCTGGCAGTATAGCAGTACTGCTCCCTTGTACTATTCTTACACCCCAAAAAAATCTCTTCTAGTTGTTTGTTTTTTCCGACCCCGACGTTGGAGGGTCGGTTTAGGTTTAGGGTTTAGTAATTATATTAGTTGAGTAAGGGGTCAGGGTTGAGGGCCTGCGGTTGTTGCGTGACGTCCCCAAACCTGGAAACCGTATCTTCAGCCCGAAGAACCAAAACCTTGAACCATGGAAGCAGCAGATACGGTGCATTATGGCACCCCCTCCCCCGACGACAAAAATACATGTTTCGCAACTCCGTTCCGTCAAGCAAGATCGATAATTGCACAAAGCCCTAAACCCCAAGCCAGTCCGAAGCCTACAACCGCTGCAAGTAATGTAGGGGCACAATAATTACCAACACTATTTGGAGGGTTCCTCATTATAATCATAGTATAATGGGCCCCAAAACCCTATTCTAACTATTAAGGCCCCTAAACCCTAAACCCTAAACCCCACATTACACCCATAGTAAGGCGTGGCGATCTCCAACATCCGGGCCAGCGGCTCCTATATCCGTGGCACCAATGGTCACAGCAATGGCCTGGTGCCCATGCTCAGGCTCAGAGTGGGGCTTAGGGCCTTTAGGGCTTAGGGTTTAGGGTTATTTTAGGGTTTAGGGTCATTTTAGGGTTTCGGGTTTAGGGTCATTTTAGGGTTTAGGGTTTAGGGGTTTAGGATTTACGGGTTTAGGGGTTTAGGGTTTGTTTAGGGCTATGGATTCTCAAAAAGCTCTATTTCCGGGTATTTTGTTTAGGGCTATGGATTTTCAAAGAGCTCTAAATTTCAATGGTGTATCAAGGGCTGTGCTCCTATAAGGGTTTCTGATACAAGCAGGGGTTGTCTGAAGCAGTCTTTCTTGGGGTTCTGCATGGGCTCAATAAGTCAATAAGGGACCCACCATGGCTCTATGCATAGAGGTCAACGTTAGTATGAGCTTGCGGTCCCGATGCAATTATGCCTCCAAAGCTTAGGGTTTAGGTTTTCCTGGGCCTACGCTAATCAAACCATCAGTTGATAACGCTAGTGCAATCATTCAGGGGTGTCGTATAAAGCCTTCAGAATACCCTAGGGCCCCGACACAACAGGCCCCGATTCTTGGACTTTGGATGCAGGGTCTCCGGACCTTTGGGGTTTCGGACTAGATCAAGGTCAAGCGTCGATACCTAAGTGTATAGGGTCTAGTGTTTGTTTAGCAGAGTTCTATACTGTTTGCCAGAATCTGTGTTTTGGGTTGAGACGTTCTGTCTATGTCCAGAGGGTGTCTGCGAAGTAGTACAAAAAACTCAGATCTTGCTCTGTCAATCGAGGCCCTGATGCTGCTTTCTGAGCATGCCCCTTACAGTTATCGAGGTTTGCCTCTGTTCTGGTCCGTCCATGCAGGAAGTATTAGTATGGTCGGGTCAGTGTTGCTCTTATGTTACGCCCTTCAATGCTATTACAGGTGTGTTAGTCGTGGTGTCCTGAGTCCTGGGGCGCGTATGCTTTTCAGGCTCGTGGGGCTTTTCATCCATGCAAGGCAAGCTTTGCCCCAAGTCCTTAGCTCGCCCAACTCAGAATTCGGGCGTTTAAGGCGGGAGGGCAGAACTCTAAGGGTCCAAGTAGTCCTCATTCATGGTTTTTGGTACCCATAAAGGCCCCAAAGTCCTTAAATAATGAGTACTTGGACCCTTAGGGTAACTCTGCATGATTCGGCTTGCGTTCTGGATTACCGGCGTGGTGCTCGATAGGTAGAGAGCCGAGATCAAGCAAGCAAACTCCACCACCATAAAGATGAGCGGGCTTTCAAAGGAGCTCACTAGAACCCCCTGCAACTCCTTACAGTCTCCCAATATATAAAGACGGATAGGTCAAACTCTAAGTTTTTGTGTTGTTTCGGCTGTGTCTTTGGATCGAAGATGCGCTAGCATGAGAGCGAGCTTATGACTGTTTTGAAGACCCGGAGGCTTAAACCCTAAACTTCCAAAAGCCTTGGCAGGAACTTCAACGAAACGGCCCGGTACGTGGACCAGGGTGGAGGCAAGAGGAAGCTCGAATGGATTTGAAATTTGAGGCTGGGCTTTTTCCTAAACCCTATAAGTTCTAAAGTTCTACACCCCTCGACTCCTGAACTTTCTGAAGCCCCAGCTGTAGATCCGGAAACCTGTAAGGATGTGGAATTGAGGCTTCTTGCAATAAGTTTAATTTAAAGCTCGGACGGTGTGAATGGTCTGTTGTTCCTACTCACTGAGGAAAGGCTCTTTCGCTATGTACTTGGAGCCCTGGCACGCGGATGTCATGGACTTCCTTGAGCTTCGAAAGATGCCTGGCTTTAGAACTCTTTAAGTTGAGCTACTACGGCTTCAGGGCTTTAGGGTCTGGGGGCTTGGAGTTTATAGGCTTTAAATGCGTTTTGTAATCAGGGTTTGCTGCGTCGGACAGATCTTTAAGAATTTGCCGAGCCTGCTTATGCACACCTGCATCGTTGCAAGCTTGTCAAGCCCTGTCATACCCGAGTCTCAAACCCTACAACCTAAACCCTAAACCTAAACCCTTCACCCTAAACCTAAACCCTTAGCCCTAAAACCCCAAACCCTAAACCTATAAACCTTAAACTAAACCCTTAACCTAAACCCTAAAACCCTTAACCTAAACCCTTAGCCCTCAGCCCCCACTGTTGTTCAGTCTTGGAGCCCAGCACGTCTGCATGTGTCCGTTGCTCTTGAAACTCTGGGCAGGTCCTGGGGTTTAATATAGGGTTTAGGGTTTAGGGTTTAATATAGGAGCCTCCATAATTACCTATACTATTTTGGGTGTTCCTTATTATAACCATAATATA